ATGTAGACCAGGGTGGCCCTAAACTTACAGAGATCCACTTGCCTTAGCCTCTCAGGTGTTGCTATTTCAGGTGTGCCCCTGGTTTATGTGGTGCTGGGTGTCGACCCCAAGACCTTGGGTCTGCTAGGCAAGCACCAAGCGACCACCCCAGTCCCCCTCTCCTGGACTTTGCTTGTAGTTCTTGTCAGAGATGATCTCTCTCAGGCTGGCGAGGCATGGCCTTCCTCTGGCATTGCTGTGGATGTTGGTGCAGGGAGTGAATCAGAGGCGGCACGGGCCCTTGGCTCAGGATTTCCTGACACTTCCTGCCTGGGGGAGCAGCCTGCTCTGGGGCATCAGCCGCTGCTCCCTGACGTCAACCCTGCTTCCAATGAATGGCTTTCCTCTTCCGTTTGGGAAGACTTGCTATCTGTCATCAAGCCCATTGACCGTCTTTCTCATCCTGGCACCTCCTGTTTGGGAAAGAGCGAGGGGAGCTAACGAGAAGACAGTGGGTGGAGACAGGAGGCAGGGCAGGACTCAGTGGATGGGTCTCTATGGAGTGAGGGGCCCTATGAGGACAGATACCATCTTGTCTGGGGCCCTCAAGGTGTGTATCAATAACTCCATGCACGGTAGCAGGCTCTGCCCCAGATCCAGAGTCCTCTGAGCAACATTGGGATTCAGAGACCCTGCTAGGTGCTCATCTTGGCCTGGGCGTTCTCTGAAAGTTCCTCATCTCCCTGGGGTGTTCTCACTAACCAGCTCAAACAAGGTCTCTGGGCAGGAAGAAAGTACCTCCCATCACCATGCACAGTAAATGTGCTCCAGGAGCTGGAGAGAAGGCTCAGAGTTAGGGACACTTGTTGATCTTTCAAAGGACCCTATTCTGATTCCCAGCACTCACGGGGTGGCACACGGCATTCTTAACTCCAGTTCTAGGGGATCTGACACTCTTTTCTGACATCTATGAACACCAGACTTGCAAGTAGTACTCATACCTATATATATATGCAAGCAAAACACTCACACATATAAAAGGAAATAAATAAAAAATAATTTTTTGGGGGAGGGTTTTCAAGATTGGGTTTCTCTCTGTAGCCCTGACTGTCCTGGAACTCACTCCATAGACCAGGCTGGCCTTGAACTCAGAGATCCGTCTGCCTCTGCCTCCTGAGTGCTGGGATTAAGGGTATGTGCCATCAGCCCTGGGCTTCAGGAATAAAATTGATAGGTTACTGCAGGAGTACTGAGGTGTGAGGTGTCACTATCTTCAGTGGTGTAGCCACTGACAAGTTGCTGACCCATGTTCATGCAGGCAACGGTTTTTAAACTCAGCGGGTCGCGGACCCAAAAGATGCGAAGCTGGAGAGTTTCAGTGGGAGGAAGATGGGATGATACAGGGTGGCCGTGGGAAAAGAGGGACCAATATTCACTATTTTTTAAACATTCACTATTTATGTGCATGGAACTGTCGAAGAATAAAAATGAATTTGCTGTTAACAATATAAATATAAATACTAAAAGATTAATTTTAAAAATAAAGGGGATGCTGGGTGTGGAGGCGCATGCCTTCAGTCCCAGCACTCAGGAGGCAGAGGCAGGTGGATCTCTGAGTTTGAGGCCAGCCTAGTCTATAGAGCGAGTTCCAGGACAGCCAGGGCTACACAGAGAAACCCTATCTGGAAAAACCAAAAGTAAATGAAGAATGAATGAATGGGTTGGAGGGATGGCTTAGCAGTTAAAAGCACAGGGTTTAGTGTTTAGTACCATCCCAAGCTCTTAACCATCTGTCTTTCCAGCTCCAGGGGTACTGGCACCCTTCTCTGACCTACACAGACACAAGGCATGAGCATGCTACAATACAGATGTGCAGACAAAGCACTCCACACATAAAACACATAAACCTAAAAAATAAAAAAAATGAATTTAAAAAAACCCGCCCCATCTCTGAAAGCCAGTCTACAAAATTTTGGAATCTCTAAGATATACACGTCCTGGAAGAGGCATGGCTGCCTCACTCTGCTTATGGCTTTGTTTTAGACCAGCCACGAAGCTCGAGGCTCTCCATGTGTGGTTTTGGAAGGGGCTGGGCCATCCGTGTTTACTAGAAATGGAAATACTTATTAGTTTCGTTTGCCCATAGAGTCCATACCACTGCATGTAACTGCGACTTGTTTTAGAGGGGACATTCCCAGGGAGCCAACCCCACGTCTCAGGTACCGCCTCATGCAGCAATGAACCCATGGGCAAGGCAGCTTGTTTTCTTTCTGTGATGGTCAGGATGTTTTGCCATCCCTGTGGTGATCACCGGTGAGGGTGAAGGGGCAGCTGATCAATGCTGTTTACTCTGCACCTCCCGGAACAGGCTTAAGGCACCATAATCTCCTGCTGGTTACTGGAAGTTATGAAATCTGATGATTCACTGTTTTTAACTCGGAAGAACTAAATCAAATTTTACCTAGTAGTTGTAAAACTATATGTACTTTAAAAAATTAAAGCCAGTCTGAAATACCCACTGCCTGTAAGTGACTTGGAAGTTCCTAAACATCACCAGATGATCTGTGAGGACACCCCCAGTGGGTAGTATTGTGTTCTCCATGCCTCTCACAAGATGAGCTGCTTTTGTTTTTTGTTTTTGTGTTTGCTTTTGCATTTATTTATTTATTGAGATGGTCTTATTATATAGCTCTGGCTGTCCTGGAACTCACTCTACAGACCAGGCTGGCCTTGAACTCACAGAGATCCTCCTGCCTCTGCCCCTGAGTACTAGGATTAAAAAACTCTCCACCATGCCTGGCACATGGTGTAAATATACCCTGTACTTAATTTTTTATTTTGAGATAGGGTTTCTCTGTGTAGCTTTGGTGCCTGTCCTGGTCGCTCTATAGACCAGGTTGTCCTCAAACTCACAGAAATCCACTTGCCTCTGCCTCCCAAATGCTGGAATTAAAGGCATGTGCCACCATCCGCTTGTACTTAATTAAAAAAAAAACTGAATATATTTAGGCAGAGGCTCATGCATTCCTAGCTGGTCTTGAACTTTCTATGTTGCAATGAATGACCTTTAACTCCTGATCCTCTTGTTTCTGTTTCCCAAGTTCTGGGACCTGCCCCATTTCCTTCTTTTTTGTTTTGTTTTCCTAGATGGGGTTTCTTTGTGTAACAGCCCTGGCTGTCCTGGAACTCACTCTGTAGACCAGGCTGGCCTCGAACTCACAGAGATCCGCCTGTCTCTGCCTCCCAAGTGCTGGGATTAAAGGTGTGCGCCACCACTGCTGGTCCCATTTCTTTCCTTTCCCTTCCCTTTCCTTTTTTTCTTTTCCTTAGATACTTCTGCTTTTGCTTTCTGAGGGCTCATGAGGGGCTGGGATTACAATGTGGGCTACCATGTCTGTATAAGATTGTCTTTGTACCACTCCTTGACAATATTTTTTGCTGCTTTAAAAATCAGTACAAATTTTATTTATTTTTATTATTTATTGTATTCATATGTATGGTCTGGGGGGGCACAAGAGAGAGAGCCACGGCGCCCGTGTGCAGGTCAGAGGACAATTTCACACGGCAAGCACCTTTTCCCGCTGAGCCGTTTTGCTGGCCTCTCCTTTCTAATTTTCTTTTCTTTTCTTTCTTTCTTTCTTTTTTTTTCGAGACAGGGTTTCTCTGTGGTTTTGGAGCCTGTCCTGGAACTAGCTCTTGTAGACCAGGCTGGTCTCGAACTCACAGAGATCCGCCTGCCTCTGCCTCCTGAGTGCTGGGATTAAAGGCGTGCGCCACCACCGCCTGGCTCTTTTTATTTAAATTTCTGCATGTTCATTTATTTTGTGGGAGCAGCAGGCACACACATGCTACGGAGTGTATGCGGAGGTCAGAGAACACACTGTCTGTCAGGTCTCTCTCCTTCAACCAGGTGTGTTCTGATGCTTAAACTCAGGTTCTCAGCCTTGGCAGCAAGAACCTTTATTTATTGAGCCCTTTTACCAGCCCCTGGCGACTTTGAACAGGGTGTCACTTCTGCAGGATATCGTTTTTCAAGGAAGATGTGGTTCTCCAATGTTCTGATGCAGCAGAGGGTATCTAACCAACTCCTTCACTGGGATTTTCCCCACACTTTCAGTACTGTGAAAATGTTGAGATCAATATTCTCGTGGGAATACTTCGGTGGAAGTGAAATTTGGAATGTCAGTGGAAGTGTCACAGCTTTAACGCCACAACATCTCTGGGGTAAACAGAATTATGATTATGTTTTACAGTGTTTCTAGTTACTAAATCCTGGCCTGTGTGAGCCAGAGAGGGACTCGGTGGCATGTAAGTCTGACAGATGGCAGAGGAGGGTCAAGCTTCAGGGTGCTGAACCGACACCATCCTGGAGAGATGCCGGTGATCGCCGATACAAGGCAGTGGGTGGCAATCTGATGGTTTTGGGGTGCTGAGCCGTCAAGGCAGGTGATGCAGGGTGCAGGGCTCAGGACAGAAGCTATCTGTCAGGATTCAGGGTGCTGAGCTGACACCAGCATCCTCCTCCTGGAGCGATGCAGGGGATGCAGGGCGCAGGGCTCAGGACAGCAACTATCAGCCAGGATTCAGGGAGCTTAGCTATCGTCAGCATCCTCCCTCATGGAGTAAGGCAAGTAATGCAGGGCGCAAGGCGGGAGCTGTCAAATCAGTCAGGTGTCAGGGCGCTGAGCAACCTTCCTCTTGCAGCAAGGCAGATTGATGAGGGCAGGACGCAGGGCTGCAGCTATCAATCACTCCGACAGGATTCGGAACACTGCACTGTCACCAGCATCCTCCCTCCTGGAGCAGTGCAAGTGAGCTCAGGACCGTGGTCCACGCCGCCTGCCCTCGAGCTCCCTCCCCAGTGCTACACCTCGCTCCAGAAGGCACCCCTCAACAGCCCTGCCAACCCAGGCGCCGCCGCCGCCGCCGCCGCCGCAGCAGCAGCAGCAGCCTCTGCGCCTGCGCACTGGCTCCGTGTGCACACACGCGCGCGCGCGCTCGCGCGCCGCTGTCAATAAAGTTCTCGCGCGCCGGAAGCGGAAGCGGCGGGTCTCCATGGCGGCGCCGGCAGCGGGCCCGGTGTTCTGGAGACGGCTGCTGGGCCTGCTCCCTGGCCGGCCCGGGCTGGCCGCGCTTCTGGGCCGGCTCTCCGACCGCCTGGGCAGGAGCCGGGAGCGCCGGCGCCGGAGGTGAGAGCGCTCGGGGCGAGGTGGGCCCGGCGGGCGGGCGGGCCTCTCGCCGTCTCCCCGCGTGCTGGCGGCCCGGCCGCGGCCCCCCGTGGGCGTGCACCGTGCAGGAGCCACCCGGGGCGCGCTCGGGGCTGCAGCGGGGTCCCCGGGGCGAAGGCTGGTGTTCTCTGGCCCTGCGGGGTAACTTGGCGGGAGTGAATCAGCCCTGCGGGGACCGGGTGCGGGCTGCCTTGCACACATCCTGCTCGAGACATTTCTCAATCCTGACTCAGTCGGCACTCAGGCCGGTGAAGAGGAAACTCTCGGAACCCTTTCTACGTGTTTTCAAAGGGCCTGTTTCTGGAAAAGTACTGAAGTGGGTTGTGTAAACGGGGAAGTAGGTTTTGAAGCAGTTTGTTCGGGCAGTGGTCCTTTAAAGTAAACATTTGCCAAGAACTGGCTCACCTAAAGAGGCCTAATGCTGTTGTTAATATTTGGGGGGGGGGAAGTGTGTGTGTGTGTGTAAGTCTCTTGTGTGCAAATGTTTAGAGACACTGGCCCCAACGAAAGCTTTGAACCTACTTTATTAGTTGAAATATTCAGCATTTTGATTTTATAAGTGTTTTCTTTTTCTTTTGGTGCTGGGGCTCAAACCCAGAAACTCATACACGCTTGGCAAGTGGTCTAACAATGAACCATATCCCTGGCTCTCTCTCTCCTTAAAATAATTAATTTTTTGTGTATGAATGTGTGAGAGCGCTCAGGTGGTGGGAGGGGGACTACCTGTGGAATACCATGTGAGTTCAGGTGATTGAACTCAGGTCCTTGGGCTTAACAGCAAGCTCCATGGACCCCCCAGTTCTTAGAGACATAGTTGCTTGTAGCTGGGGCTGGCCTTAAACTGGCTAAGTAACTCAGGCTAGCTTAGCATTTCTGATTCTCCTGCCTCATCCTCTCAAACGCTGGGGTCACAGGTGTGAGCTATAATGGTCCACTGTCTTAGCTTTTGATATCCGAGTTCTATGGGTAAGATCTTGCGGACTCGCTAGACAGCTAGGGAAGCAGTTGTTGTTCCTTTTGGAAACTACAGCTCCCAGATTCCTCCTGGATTACGGATACCTGCGCGTGGGCGTGCACAGGTGCAGGTCATTTCTCCCAGATACCCTCGCGCTTCTCGTTAAAAAGCGGGCTTCCACGAGGTCTCGCTCTCTCTTGCCCTTTACCCTTGTGTATCTTGCACACCTGTCCCTTATCGTGTTCCCCTCCCCCCCCATTAAAGTGCACCCACGTGGGAGCCGCGTGTCTGTCTGTCTGTCTGTCTGTCTGTCTGTCCTGTGTTTGTCTACACACACGCCCGCTTTAAAAGAATAATAGCAGTGACTTGTGTTGGTTCTAGATGTGGAGCCTTGATTCTCAGACTAACAGAGGAAGCTTACCAGCCAAAGCCCAAGTTTGCTTCGGAGGAACTTTCAGGTGACAGATTCTAGGCAGAAAAGGAGTCTTGGATGTATACTGATCAGAATGTCTCCTTTGTCCCAGATGTAGAGGAGGTGGCCACTCTGTTCTATAACTGAGGCTCAGTGAACGACCTGGCCATTCTATTGGGTGGTAAAGTCAGGTGATGCTGACATCATGCTATCAGACCACTGCAAGATGTAGTTTAAGGTTTCAGAAGTTGGGCCCAAAAGATGAGGGGTTTAGGAAGCTTTGTTAATTTCCTTTTTGTTTTGAAACATTATTAATTATTGTTGAGCTTTGGTGTTGATCACTGAAGGGTGCTGGGGCATGCTACACAAATAGCCCTACTTCTGCCAGGTATCAAATCCAGGATATCAAATATACCACTAGGTATCAAATCCACCACTGAGCAGTACCCCTAAAGCCACATGTAGCCCAGGTTAGCTTCCAACATGCTTGCTTTGTAGATGAAGATGACTTTGTACTTCTGATCCCTTTGTCTACAGCCTGAGTGCTGGGATTACAGTCAATGTGCCCAGTCTCATGTGCTAGGGGTAATTTCCAGGGCTCTGTGCATGCGAGGCAGATAGACCCTACTTACCAATGAGCTATACCCCCAGTGCCCATGCTTCGTGACCCAGGTTAGCCTCGAACTCTGAGCACAGCGATTGCAGTCTTGTACCACCATGCCCACCTGGGGCACTTTCTTTCTCTCTTCCTCCTGTTTTATTTTATTTTCTTAGTGAAAAATCTTTACAGTATGTGTATGTGTTTGTCCCAGGAATTGAACACAGGTTGTCAGATGTGGTGACAGATACTTTTACCTGCTGAGGTAGCTCATTGGCCCCGTTAAAAAACTAAAAAATAAGAAAAAGATTTTGCTAGTTTGAGACAGGTTCTCACTAGATATTTGGCTGACTTGGAACTCTGTGTAGATCAGGCTAGCTTCAAACTCATAGAGATCCACCTGTCTCTGTCTCCTGAGTGAGTGCTGGGCTTAAAGGTGTGCACCACCACACTTAGACCAAAGGTTTTATTTTTACTTATGTGTATCTATCTCAGTGTGTGTGTCTGAGTGCAGGTGCCTTTGGAGGCCAGAAAAGGACATTGGATCCCTTTGGTCTAAAGTTACAGGCAGTTAGGATCCCATCTTAAGTCTTAACCATTAAGCTGTCTATCCAGCCCATTAATAAATAAATTTCTGAGACAGGATCTCGCTACGCAGAGCCCTGGCTCTCCTAGAACTTCCTTTGTAGATCAGGCTGTCTTTTAAGATTTATATATATATATATATAATCTGTTTATTTTGAGTCAGGGTTGGGCTGACTCGGGCTTCTATGTAGTTAAGGGTAGCCTTAAACTTAAGAATGGGGACTGCAGGTGGCAGCGAGGGTAGTCTAAATTGATTTTACAAGATTCACGTTTGTTCTGGACTCCTAGGCTGGCCTTGATCTAGGGATGGCTGAAGATGAGCTTGAACACCTGAGTTCTGGGATTGTAGGCAGGCGCCTCCACACTCAGCTCAACTTCCCAACATTTCCGCAGTACACGCGGGTCAGTATTTCTTAGCCAAAAGATTAAGCCTACAGTTAAGTCAGAGGGTGTGGGGGATTGACTGGTGGATTTCTCTGAGTCAGAACCAGAACTCGAGTTTCTCTGCCTTGCATTCAGAAGCTCTCTTTACAGTGATAACATTTAGGGTGGGGACGAGGATGACTGTGTCCACCAATGAGTGACCCTGCATGGTTTTGTCCCCGCCTCTGCCTAGTTTGGCTTGCAGCTTTTTTTGGTTCTCTGGGGCCTTAGTGTTTGGCATTATGCATGTCAGTTGTGGCCACTCACTCTCAGCTGCTTGCTTTCGATTCTTCTCCTTTGTTCCACTGCGCCTCCCAATTCCTCATTCCCCGAATGGTGTGGTTTCTTGTAATTCTCTGATCACTGATTCATTGATAATAGCTCTGTGTAGTCATGAGCTTAAGTTATTTTAGATTCTGGCTTGCCCATCTGACTCAGCCATCGGGGGCTTGGTGAATCCTTGTGGCCAGCAGGAGGAACGGTTCTTCACTGCGTGGTTTCCTCTCAGGCTTAGCGGTGCCCATAGAGACTAAAGAACACGAGAAAACCATTTCTTATTAGTGATCCTGAGATACTGTTGCTTTCTCTGAAGCAAGTGCCTGACTCACCGTCATTGGGAGAACTAGACAGTTGATTTATTCCTCGTGTAGATGGGTCATTGCTAGGCTAATGAGAGAGATAGAACAGCCAGCCCTGCCTTTACAGTGCCCGACCTGTGAGCAGACTTTCCAGGAAAGCAAGGTGGAAGGTCATGGCGGATCCCTGGAGGTGGAAGGCCTCCCTGTCACACAGCACAGAGCTGTTTGCAGTGAAGTGAGGAAGGGGAGTAGGCATTTAAGGCAAATGATGTGACCAGGAGTGGCGGCAGCACTTGAACCATTTCTTCTTTTTCTCCTCCTCCTCTTCCTCTTCTCCTCCTCCTCCTTCCTTTTTTCTTTCTTTTTTTTTTTTTTTTTTTTTTGATTTTTTTTCTGAGACAGGGTTTCTCGGCGAAACAGCCCTAGCAGTCCTGGAACTAGCTCTGGAGATCAGGTTAGCCTTGAACTCTGAGATCCACCTGTCTCTGCCTCCTGAGCACTGTGATTAAAGGCCTGTGCCGCAGCTGCCTGCCCTTGAACCATGTCTAACAGCTGATGGAGGGTTGCTAGGTAGGAGAGGAGCTATAAGTAAGTCAGTCTCTTGGGCCGGGCCAGAGACCTAGGAAGGCAGATTTTAGGTCCTTGTGTGGTTTGTGAATGGTACAGCCCTGAGCTTTGGGAGGTAGGGGTGCTCCTGTGAAGTCAGGGGCAGTGGGTGAATAAAACTATATAGAGGGCGAGATTAGAGTCAGGCCTGCTATGGGTATTGGGGGAAGCGATGCTGAGGCAGGTCACGTGACCAAATGTTTAGGTTGTAGCGCTTGACCGCACCGGCCGCACTGGCTTTTGGCAGTAAAAGCTGCAGATTTATGGCTCCTGAGCTACATTGAGGTGCTCAGGTAGAGGTGCCTAGTGCTTAGGAGAGGCCACGCCTTGGATGGAGGGGTTTGGACCAGCGATGCACAAGGCGGGCTCCTTAGTTGGAGCAGAAGAGACCTACTGGGAAATGTTGAGAGGGCCTTCTTTCCTAAGCTTGCGTTTGTTTGCCATATAAGGAAATATTCCTCTAAAACTACGGTAGTTGAGCTAAATAAATACACAGCTCTTTATTTTTTAAACTTAAGCCTGTTTCCTTTGTGGGGGGCACAGAGAGACAGGGACACTGTCCTTATTTCCTAGCTTGTGAGAGGGAAACGGTGGCCACAGAGGTTCTTTCAGTTGGAGTTTCTTCCTTTGTGGTGGAAGGCTCGTGGTACATTCTGAGACACTTCTGCTCTGAGGAGCCCTCACACTCCCGCAGGTGCTTTCCTTTGGCCATTTCTGATGTTGGGAGTCAGCCTTTCCAACCCACTAGAGCTCTGCCTCTGGTTTAGTTTTTGAGACAAGAGTCTCATGTAGCCCAGGCTAACC